AATTTAAAAGTATAATTTATTATATAATTAATTTTATATAACTTATGAATTTTATATCTTTATTATTTAATTAAATTAATATATTTATTATTTAAATAAATAATATTTTAATTAAATAATACATTTATTATTTTATTAGAAATTATTATATTTATATTTTAAATAAATAAAATATAATTTTAATATTAATATAATAACTGTTAATAAAAATTATATAAAAAAATTCATTTATTAATTATTATTAAAAAAAAGTTAAATAATAATAAAAAATTATAAAATTACTAAAGATAATATAGTAAAAATTATTATAAATTAAATATAAAAAAATTTTGAAAATTAATTTTAATTGAGAATTATAAGTATAAAAAAAATAATTAAAATTTAAAATTTAAAAAATGATAAATTATATATTTATAAATTTAATTATATATAAAAAGAAATTATTATAAATTTATAATATTTTTAATTAAATACTAGGTAACAGGAATTATTATTAAGTCTAAAACAAACTTAACTAAAAAAAATTCATACTGTATTTGTTTTATTAGACTTTTATGCAATTATAAAGTCAATAAGTATTGACTTAATTATTGAGCAAGTGGAATTTAAACATTTGTATTTTTATTCATAGAATTATATAGTCTTTCGCTATGCTTTAAATAATAAAGATTATTTAATAATTTTAAATAAAATAAATTTTTTTAAAAAAATACCAATTCTTAAATTTAAAAATATTATTAGATAAAAATAATTATTTGTAATTTTATATAAATTTATAAAGTTTTAAATAATATAATTTTTTAAAATTTATTATATTAATTATAACAAATTCTTATATAATTTTGAATATCTTAATTAAATAAATAAATATATATAAATATATTAATAAAAAATCATTATTATTATTTAAATTATTTATAATATTTAATTTTAAATAATAAATTTATAATATAAGTAAAACTAAAAACTTTTGAGAACTGATTTTATTAGTAAAAATATTTTTTATTAAATTTTTATATAATTTTGATTAAACTTTTAAACTTAACTTTAAACTTTTTTAAAATATTATGAATGGATTTATTCATTACTTATGCAGTATTATAAACTTCAACTAAGTTTACTAGATTCTTAACGTTTATTAGAAATAAATCCTTAAGGAATTTCGATTTTGTGCATTCCATATTTAACAAAATAATTATAAAGTATTCCTTTAACCTACTTTCAAACAATTCATTTTTTTTAGTTTTTATTTTTTAATGTTTCGAAATTGTCACACTATAAATAAAAATAAATAAACAAAACATAAAGACGCAATTATGATTATATTCTAACAGAAATCCCTTCCAAAAATGAAAATTAAAGCAAAGGTGAAAACCCGATTTATCATATATACCAATCACAAACTGAACAGAGCACTATTTATTTATTTATTTTGTTCCTTTTAAAAAAAAAGTGGTATGTTTCACCTATTTTATAAAATTGAAAAACAAAGGTATTACTAGATCATGGTTCGATTTGGCCAAGACTTACCAATCAAATTTAATCATATGGTACAGGTTCCTTATTACGGAAGCAGAATTTGGCGTGAAATTCGAAAAAACAAATAGGTTAATTTTATTACAATATAGTACAAATTCTTTGAAGTACTTTAATTCCATATAACGATAAGCACAAAATCTGTACTTTGCGGTAGCCAAAAAAAAAGGCGGACTTCACGCCCATATACTTAATCAATTATTTATTTGTTGTGTTATACATTATATAATTATATAATTTGCTTATTTAATCTAAGCCTTTTTTCTTTTTTTTTAAAAAAAAGAAAAAAAAAAAAAGAGATGTCTCAACGCAAATTACTTTTTATCTATGCGACGGAAAAGGATTGTTTAAAAGTAAATTTGAAATTTTTCTTATATGGCCAATCACGGCCAACCTTAAAATCCGGCCGTGGACACAATAATTACATTCTGTGATGATCATTTATCTAATGCCTTAAAGAGCTGGGAATATATCATTTTAAAGCAAACTATCCACAAAATGCAATTTATATGGTATATAACTTGTGCAACTTGATTGACAAAGCAAGCCGTTAATCGATAAGTTTCTCGTTTAATTCATTCTAGGAAATATATAAACAATGAAGATAAAGACACGTAATTAATAAATATGGTGTTTATGAATGTATGGAAAATGAAATCATGAAAGATATTAGTCATTTCCATGTTTGCGTTCATTCCGATTAGCATTTCACTATAGGAGCTAATTTGATCAAATATCTAACCATAATAGCGATTTAAAATTCCAAAATTCCGATACACGTTATTTATAAATCAATTGTTTGTTACATTTTCAAGAAAGAATTTTTGAAAGAATAGTATAACCAATAAGTTTGGCTTTGATGTTATTTTTACCGCGGCGATAACGGAATCCTGAATTCCGATAAATCAAACGATCAAATGAGTAACGTTTATTACGTGGCGTGGGTACTTGCGATAATTTAATCTTCCCCCAAAAAAAAATGTTGATGTTATCATTTATTGTTGAAACAGTTTAGATTTACTCTGGAAATTTTTTCAAGAAATTCAAAATTCTTTGTACATTTGATAAACATAAATTCTTTTTATGGAATGTCTGAAATCGGTAATTTAGAAAAAGCAATTATCGTTTCTGTCATTGGACTCGGAATTCTATACTATAATGCCGCAGCTTCAGTAAGAAGTACATCCTATGTATCCAAAACAAAAAAAAACTAGGACTTGACCAAATAAATGAAAATAATAATGAAATAGATGTTTCTTATGATTGTGATATTTAAAAAACAGTGAGTTTCCCTATTTATTGAATTGATCATAAACTTTCAAACATAATTTCCGTTCTGCGTAGAATATACCTTTCCATTGTTGTTACTGAAATGTAAACTTACAACTTAATGTTTAATAGAATTCCTTTCGAGTCTCGTCGCACGTGTTAATGTCACGTTTATTTTATTTTTGAGCTTACCGATGCATAAACATGTCTGTGCACTTTTGATATTCTGAATTTGGATTGCCTATCTTTCTTTTTATATTTTCGGTTAAAAGTTGTAAAATTTCTGTAACTATCGAACGATTCTATTAAAAGAGCTCATTTGGTTCTATGGGCGAGGGAGGGTAACTGGACATTACAATACGTATTACGTAAAAAAAAATTTTTTTCTTTTGAAAGGAGAAGATAATCTTGTTGGTTACGTCGTCGAAGTTTCTTTGTTATGCTAACATTTGACAAATTCTCGACAATTAACTGGAGCAATGGAATTTATAATCCGTGATTGGGATCGGCATAAAGATCACAGTAACTTCCCCCTTGCGATGATGACTGCCCGATTATTCATTAGCTCATCCCTACGTGCTGGCACGATGACGGGCATAAGAGGTTAATAATGTATGACAACATAAAAAAAGATATAAATGAATTCAAAGAGCTGGTACTTACTGAAATAAAGACATTTTTTCTCTAATCAATCAAAGAATTCTATACGATCTTTTGATCTTTATCACAACCATTGTGCAATCGATGAAGACTTTCTTTCGTGGTAATAAAGATGACCTTTGTCTGCACATCAGTGAAAAACATAACATGCCTTTACAATTTATTTATTTGAAGATAATTTTAATTTGCGTATTTTCCCGATTTTTCCGCAAATTTAGGTTTGACAATGGAAATAGAGGAAGGATTAGCGTGCGTTATAGCACATGAAAAAATTTTTTCACGAAAAGGTTTGAAAGACACAAACAAACGTGTACAAAATCTAGTCGCATTTGATGATTTGATGATCTCCGTAAATCCAATATAATTAAATTATATTAATTTAGATTAAAAATATAATCTATTATTATACTATTTTCAGAACATTTCTATAGATTACACGAATTTTTTTTTTTTTGCTTTTTAACGCCAAATATATTATTATAAATTACATTAATATTAAAAAAAGTTATGTTGTATGGATTTCATTGATTTTCAACATAAATAGGACTTAATTTCCGAATTTCCTCATAAGTAATAAATAACAAAAAGCAACACAGGACAGGTTTTATAAATAAAAAAAATCCATTCTTTCACTTTCATTCAAAACATCATCTCCTCCTTTGTTTTCTACATATTTAAAAGAGAAAATCCCCCCCCTTCCTTTTTTTTTTTGTAAAAGAATGAAAACACAACATAAAGAAATACCGCATAACTTAAATCTGTGGAATATTTATAGGCCAAGATTCCACTTAATAGATTTGATTTCGACCAGGAGAAACCCATTTGGTTCTAGATTATCACGGCCGCCCCGGCCTCCCAATAGTTTCTTTTTGATGAAAAACTGCTTGATGCTCGAGCTGCGTATGCTCGGGTATCGCTTTGCAATGCCAGACGTCTGTCGGCAAGCCAAATTAATTTGGCACGATATCCCCCAGGATGTAAAAGACCTGTACGATAACTTAGCGCTTCAAGCGCAACATCTTCATAGTGAGATGTTTCCGAACTATAAATTTTCTCCTAAGAAACGTACCACCTTCAAACCTTACGTTCCGGTCCAGGAAGACCAAGGACTTTGTATGTCCAAATTTACAGTGAATGAATTTTTTAAAGAAATTCATACCTCTGTCCCTTCCTCTCCCACTCCATTATCACCATTATCACCGAATTCCTCGATTTCAGATTCACCTAATCCTGAACAACCATTTCTGCAAAACGATCCTTTTTTGGTAGATCCCTGTTTGCCCGAGGATAATTTATTCTTTCCGGGGGTTAATATATCACCTGAGCTTGATAGATATTTTCGAGAATTTGAAGAATGCTCAATTGGTTATTACCTCAACTCTTTCATTAAGTCGTGAATCAGAAATTTGTAAAACCTGACAGTCAATCCTTTTTTTTTAAAAAAAATTCGATCTTAACTCGAGTGAAATCTATGCTTAGGAATTAAGACGCGTCTTATACATAAGAACAAATTATAATTCCAATTATTCCCATTGAATTTCACACTCATTTTTATTTTATTTTGTCTTTTTTGCAATTTTTAGTAAATTGCTTATTTACTTATTTTTTTTATTAATTTTATCCTTTTGATTTATGTTTTTATATGTCTTTATTTCTTAAGCTTTAACTTTACGTACTTTTTGTTCAAATTCGGTGGGAATAGTGGGAATTTTAAATTTATTTATTAAATATTATTATATGAACCCGTTGTATCATTTATTATGTAATGAATTATATATAAATAAAATATTAATTATAATTATAAATACATATATATATATTTCTCTTATTCACGTTGTGTTTAACTTTATTAATTTCAATGGTTTTATTTAGGCCTAATTGTTTTGATATCCCATCTATAACCATTTGCATTTAATTTCTTGGTATAAGGAATAGAAAGGTGGCTTATTATTTTGGATCTCGTACGACAAAGTGGCGTGTAACGCGTGAGTCACGTTACAAAGCTAAAAATTAACAATTATTATTTTTGATCGTCCAAATCACTTCCAATTTTACTAATATAAAAAACGCAAAAAAGAAAAGTTACCATTTCATTTTAGAATATTTTTATAACATCCTCAAAAATTTTTAGTTTAATTGAGTTAAATACAGGTTACTTTTTGTTGATGCTAACCAATTATGCCTATAAGTGAAGTACAAACAAAAAAAAAAAAAAATTTTAATGTAATGATCCTCCCTCCCATACAACCTTCTTATTTTATTTTTAGAATGTTTTTTTTTTTATAAAAAAAAAAAAAAATAATAAATTGAATTGGAATTATTTTTAAAGTTCGGAATTCAAACTCCTGAACGCGATCTTCTATATTTGATATAAAATTTTCGACACAAAATAAATTTTTTAAATTGAATTTTGATTATAGTATCACGATGCACTATTTATTACATTCCCCCTTGTTAAAATTTCATTTCATTTATTCCCATCAAAATTTTTTTTTTAATTCTGGAACATTTTTTTGGTAACAAAGATTTCTTTAACCTGTACTTTCGTTTTTATTGGATTATTGCTGTACAATTATTTATTCAAAACAAATCCTCTCATAATAACAAGAACAATATAATCAAAAGAATATGCATATTTTGTTGTCCTTAAATGTCGTTTTGAGTTCTCAAATATCAAATGTTATTTAAATTTAATAATGATAATCTATAGTAATAAGGTTAGTGATTGAATGGTAAAAACAATATTCAAGTTTGTTTATTGTAAATAAGATTTCACACCACAGATATCATACCATTTTTAGTGTTCTTTACAACTGTAGTTTCTTCCTTTTATCTATAAGTGGCGTTGAATTCCTGATGCACTTAATTAAATTTCACCAAATTAACATAAACAAGAAAGTGCCGTTATGTATTTTACCAAAAAGATGATAGTGATGGATCATTGCCGTGTTATCCATTTTATCGCTAATCACGAGATTGGCGTAGTTAAAATTTAATACGCGTACGAAGCGATACATTCTCTAGCATAGGTAACGCGTTGCGCATCAACTTTATTTCATGCAAATCTTGATTATACAAACACGAAATTATACTGATTTAATATGAGTAGTATGATTAATAGATTTCTAGTTTTATTTTAGATTTCGTGTGGTGAGTTACATATTCTTTACTCTTTAATCCTTTATCTTGTTAATTTGTGAATCTTTGCGTCTATGCGACCGGTTTTTAAAAAATGTACGACCTTTACTTCCCGAAATCACGAATATTTGTGGAATATGCTCACGCACAACATTTTAAATTTCCGCACATTTTAATTTAATTTATGTAATGTCCCCATAGCATCGTCATGAAATGCTAATTCCGCACAAATTTTTCATTTAAATCCTAGGTAACGTACGCGACCCTATATTCAAATGTTTATCTAAATAGATCGACATTTGATTTCCTTGTGACAATCATTTTTTAATGATAAGCATAATTCTATTTATAAAACGAAAACCATTTGGTGTCATATATGGCTTATGTATGGTGTTATGGTAAAGTTCATCAGAATTGAAAGATCTGATGAACATGGCATGCATGATCAACAGGTACGTGTATTGTTTTTATTGTTAGCAAGCGTTAACCGACGAATTATTAACTGTATTTTCCTGTAATAGCATATATATTGTCCGATATTATTCAAGAAACCATCTAGAAACTAGAAATAGAAACTTGAATAATATAATATAACTATCAGACCGTCATGACTATGTGAATTTTCGATATTATACATTAATATTGTCGATATTGTAGATGTTGAAGATATTGGAAATGTCAGGATTGGTAGCATTGGTTAGTCGTCACATTTGTCCTAATGACTGAGCGATCACATTTTTGAGATGGGATCGAAGACCAATAAAGCGAACTTTATCATCCAATAACTCTTTAATGTATTATGTGATATGCGTTGGTTTTGTGTGCAACTTGTTCACAAGGAATATAACGTAAAGTCAAGAGAACCAATAGTATTTTGGAGGAGTCTAAGATATGCAAACAAATTGGTCATAATAGCAAAACATCCAAAGGAAAGGAGATCAAGAGGTTACAGTATAGGATCCGGAATATTAAATCTGGAGGGGGGAGCATTTTTTATGAATTTTACGGCAGGACCAACATTAGAGTCAGTAATTCATTGGAAAAATCGTGCATCGAATGAAAGTTCGGGATTAACTGATTCATGTATTACATGGTGGCCGTGTGATCTACAAGAATTGTAACCGAAACGACTAAATCACGAACCTTAAATGAAATGAATTAAATATTGGCAGCATCTAAAAAGTGTTAAAAATCAAATTCTCTCAACGTAATATAATTATTATCATATCTAGGTAAGATTTCCATACAAAATATTTCGATAAGTTTATCTCTTCTTTGACAATGACATAATAGATTTTTATTACTTTATTTTAACATTAGAAAATCAATTTACTTACGCTATTTTAAAGTAATAATGTTTGAGCTTAATACATACAAATAATATATATCTTAATTTTTAAAAATATATTATTCATGTTTTTATTATTAACTAATCAAATACTTTAAAATTCTAATTATAGAAAAAAAAAAAAAATTAGTTTATTTAGCAATTAGAAAATAATATATATATATATTTATATATATATTTATTTATTTAAAATATATTATATTTTTAAATTTTTATTTTATGATTAAATTAAGATTTTACTATATTTTTAACTTTAAGATTTTTATAATCTTGCTTAAATATTTTATTAAAGTAAATTTTCTATATATGATTTTTGATTTATGAAATATTAAGATTATAATCATATCTTTAATAAAAAG